CCCACATAAGAATCCTCTGGGCGAATCTGGAAAAAAACATCACCGTCGTCCTCGTGGTTGGTGAGGCGTCCTGGCTCTTTTCTGCGTATATTTCCTGTCGCCTTGGCGCGGGCCTCCCTTCCACTCCTTACGTTGTCCCCATCCTCGCCCCCCTGTTTGTTCCGCGCCCCGCCACCTCCTCCCCTTCCTGTTGCATGAGCGCGCATGTCGATGTTCCTCGGCGCCGTCGCCGCCACGGCCAGCACAGGCGCGTTCTCTACAGGTCACGTCGCGCAGCCGTTGGGACAACCCCGCGGGCCAGGCTGTCGGGACAACCCCGCGAGCCGTTGGCGCGCAAGACCCAGCCGTTGGGACAACCCCGCGGGCTTCGAGCGAGGCGCAGCCGCGCTCAGGCGGAAGGCAGCACGAAACCCAGCTCTGCCGCGAGCTGCTTCGCCTCCGCCCTGGACAAAACCGCCTGAGACTTCCTCCATATTCAGGCTTGAGGAGCCCAAAAGTGACGACAGTTACAGGGTTCCGATGACCCGCTCGGATTACCAACATGATTTGCGGGCCCCATAGGGAGGGAGCTCCCGCCTGAGACTTCCTCACAATTCACTCAGAGACGAGGCCCCCGCCTGAGACTTCCTCCAAATTCAGGCTTGACGAGCCCAAAAGTGACGACAGTTACAGGGTTCCGATGACCCGCTCGGATTACCAACATGGTCTGCGGGCCCCATAGGGAGGGGGCTCCCGCCTGAGCCTGCCTTAGAATTCACTCACCGACGAGGCTCCCGCCTGAGACTTCCACCAACTTCAGGCTTGAGGAGCCCAAGAGTGACGACAGTTACAGGATTCCGATGACCCGCTCGGATTACCAACATGATCTGCGGGCCCCATATGGAGGGAGCTCCCGCCTCAGACTTCCTCCCAATTCACTCACAGACGAGGTTCCCGCCTGAGACTTCCTCCATTTTCAGGCCTGGGGAGCTCAAAAGTGACGACGGTTACAGGATTCCGATGACCCGCTCGGATTACCAACATGATCTGCGGGCCCCATAGGGAGGGGGCTCCCGCCTGAGACTTCCTCACAATTTACTCACAGACGAAGCTCCCGCCTGAGACTTCCTCCAAATTCAAGCTTGAGGAGCCCAAAATGACGACACTTACAGGATTCCGATGACCCGCTCGGATTACCAACATGATCGGCGGGTCCCATAGGGAGGGAGCTCCCGCCTGAGACTTCCTCCCAATTCACTCACAGACGAGGCTCCCGCCTGAGACTTCCTCCATTTTCAGGCCTGGGGAGCTCAAAAGTGACGACAGTTACAGGATTCCGATGACCCGCTCGGATTACCAACATGATCTGCGGGCCCCGTACGGAGGGGGCTCCCGCCTGATACTTCCTCACAATTCACTCAACGATGATGAGGATGAGGATGATGAGTGGTGGTGAAGATGAGTGGTGAAGAGGATGGTGATTGATTGTGAGTGTTGGTGGCGATGATGATGTTTGAATGAGGATGATGCCGATGCCGATGATGATGATGATGATGATGATGATGATGATGATGATGTTCATGAGCGTGTGAGAGAGTGCGAGTGATGATGATGATGAGTATGTGAGTGACTAAGCATGTGAGAGAGCATCATCGATGATGCTGATGAGATTGATGATGGGAGAGTGTGAGTGAGCGTGAGTGTGTGTGTGTGTGTGTTCCTGTTCCTGCGCGGGGTGTCCAGAGAAAACAAGAACCCCACTTTGGATGTGGGGAATAATTGTCCTGGTGAAAATAATAGTGGTAGTAGTAGTAGTAACAGTAGTAGTAGTAGTCGCAGTAGTAGTAGTAGAAGTAGTAGTAGTAATGGTAGTATGAGTAGTAGTAGTAGTAGTAGTAGTAGTAGTAGTAGTAGCAGTAGTAGTCGTGCTACGAATAGCGTTTGTAGTAGTAGTAGTAGTAGTAGTAGTAGTAGTAGAAATAAAAAGAGTAGTAGTAGTAGTAGTCGTAGTAGTAGTAGTAGTAGTAGTAGTAGTGGTAGTGGTAGTAGTGGTGGTAGTAGTAGTAGTAGTGGTCGTGGTAGTCGTAGTAGTAGTAGTAGTAGTAGTAGTAGTAGTAGTAGTAGTAGTAGTAGTAGTAGTAGTAGCATTAGTAGTAGTAGTAGTAGTAGTAGTAGTAGTAGTAGTAGTAGTAGTAGTAGTAGTAGTAGTAGTAGTAGTAGTAGTAGTAGTAGTAGTAGTAGTAGTAGTAGTAGTAGTAGTAGTAGTAGTAGTAGTAGTAGTAGTAGTAGTAGTAGTAGTAGTAGTAGTAGTAGTAGTAGTAGTAGTAGTAGTAGTAGTAGTAGTAGTAGTAGTAGTAGTAGTAGTAGTAGTAGTAGTAGTAGTAGTAGTAGTAGTAGTAGTAGTAGTAGTAGTAGTAGTAGTAGTAGTAGTAGTAGTAGTAGTAGTAGTAGTGGTAGTAGTAGTAGTGGTGGTAGTAGTAGTAGTAGTAGAAGTAGAAGTAGAAGTAGAAGTAGCAGTAGTAGGTGCCTACTATTAGTCGCAAGCCGAAGTCAGCTAGCTGGCCCGTCAGGGCCCGCGCACCACGCAACTGTGCCCGCGCGCTGGGACGCCGCAAAATAATCACGGAGATACTTTCCTCGCGCACTGGGACGCGCGCTTTTGGTGCGTCACGGCGTCGAACGACGGCCTGTTCGGCAACGCGCGGCATTCCGCGCATGACGCTCCAAAACGACTGCCGGCACGGTGACAACACGCACATGCAGAAGCGCGGGGAAGAGGGAAGCACACGAGGGGCGGCCACATGAATGGGCAACAGGAAATCAAAAGATGGATAGAGAAATCACAAGGACAATGGATGAGAAGAGAACAAGCAACAACAATCTCGACAATGGGATTCCTGCTTCGCGCGGGTCCTCACAGCCAAATTCCGCCATCCGCGGTTTTCCGCCTGGACCTCGCTCGGAGGACGTTCGGGATGGCCGCGGCCTTCCGCCTGGACATCGTTCGGGGGCAGTGCTGCAGAGGCACTGGTCGGGAAGGGCAGGCGAAAAAATGCAGCTGCAAACGTTCCCTGGGCCTGACAACGACGGCAACAATGCCCAGGGCAAAGCAAAACGGCGGATAACCTGCGGAAGGATGGACGCACCGTAGGGCCATTCTGCTATGCCCACCCCCAGAGGGGACACAGCCCGCACCGCGAATCGGGATGCCACCCAGAGACGGGCGCGCCTTACGGGCAGCGCACAGCGAGGTGAGAGGAAGAGAGGCGCGGGTGTTCCCACCGGCCAGAATTGTGCCATCTTCCAAACATTGTCTGTCCACCAAGATTCGCCATCGCAGCCGTGCTCATGTGTCAAGCCGGACGCGCAATAACCATAGGGACTCAATTCCTCGGGGTAGTGCTACTCCTGCTCATACCAGCTGTCGTTAGCAGCGTGCCATGCCGGTGGTGGCCTAGAGTACCTGGCCTTGTCCTTGCCCTTGCCAGGGTTTCGGGGCGTCCACTGAGTGAAGGTGGAACTCTTGCCCGAGCCTCCTTTTCCCTTCTGGCGGATGTGGATACGACCGCGCTGGAGGACCAACACGTCCTTGATCTTCTCGAAATTGGTCCTATTGTCCGCTGATGTCATTACCATCAAGTTCTCCGAGGGCGAAAGCCCTGCATGGTCTAAGAGAAAAAATCAAAACACGTCGTCACTCACAATGAAGTTCGGATCGAGCTTAGAGATAAGTTTCCACCAGCGCGTTCTGTGTGATATGTAAGAAACCATCGACTCACCGCTCTGTCGGGACATTGGTCCGTAGGGTCCCCCTCCTCCTTGGAAGGGGATCTTGGCGTCATGGGTGCCAACGGGAAAACGCGAAATACGGATCGCCTGTACCACCAGACCGATGCCTGTCTTAGTCAGAAGCGTATCCTTGCCTAGATCCATGGCCATATCGAACGCGTCGCCTCTGAGGCCCTCTATCACCTTGCTGACGGCTGCTGCGACGGCGTGTAATTGTGGCTGTCCCGTTGCAGGATCAACGGCGGCCAGGGCAGCATTCATGCGCATCTGCGTGAGGAATTCCTATTCATGGAAGTTGTTCGCTGTACCATATAAGAGCCGCTCTTCGCCTCCGACATTGTCATTAAATCGGCATGTGGTCTATGACGAAGAGAAGACGATGCCATGGCGCAGGCAAGTGCGCAGGCATATCGCAAAACAGTCTACAGTCCCTTGTAAGGGGCACTGTTCCAGTAAGTACGAAATAAGGTGCGGTGATCGTGCGGAGCTCTCTCTCTGAAGAACTGAGTCCTGCGCAGTGGTGCGGTCGCCGCAGACCGTGTACACGCGTGTAGCAGGCTCCGCTGCCACTGTGATGTATGCTGTTTGTGCCCTGGCAAAAGAGTTCCCTTGAGGGTCAAACGGCACCGAGTGGCGCACGTACGTGTCACGCACACACACACTATATCACAACCACCATCACCACCACCACTACCATCATCACCATCATCACCACCACCACCATTATCATCAGCATCATCATCACCGTCACCACCAGAATCACCAGAATCACCATCGTCATCCTCCTTGTCGTCGTCCTCACCATCATCAGGTCTATGATCTATCTCTACAGTCCGCCTCACTCCTCCCCAGCACCGATACCGAAGCGCATCCATCGGATCGAAATGGACCGCAGTCGCGGCTGGTCTGGGGAGGCCCGTCGGGCGGCGGCGGCGGAGCGCCTGGGGCACCGCCGCCGTCCGCGCCCAGCTCGGCGCGCAGCCTGTCGGCCCTGTCGGTCAGCTCCTGTCGGGCCGCCCCGCGCGGCGCGGCTGGCGGCGGGAGCAGCCCGGGGAGGGGCTCCACGCAGGCGCTATGTCGACTGGTTGGCCAAGGAAGGAGCTCGGTGCACAGACGCACGGGCTGCACGGCCTGTGGGACGCTGGCGCGTCCAGCCACCGAACTCCTCCGCCGAGCTCCTCGGCGCCCCGGCCGAGCCAACGAAGCGGTGCGCACAGCGAGACCCTCCTGGGGCCCGCGGCCTGCGGGGGCTGGCGTAGACATGCGGCGTCTGGGGGAACCTAAGACGACAGCTGCTCGCCGCTGTCGGCCCCATGGGGCTCGCGTCGGGCCCCGCCTGGGGAAGTCTGACCACTACTCGGGGGGAGAAGCCGGCACTGGAAAAGGGTCGTCACTTCCGGGGGCCTGGTGTTGAGAGAGACAAGACATCTGATGTCTGGGAAGGGCGGAAGAGCGAGGCTCGAGGATGGAGGGGCAAACAATTAAACAAGCAAATCAACTGTCGGAGTCCCGCGAACAAATCTTGGGGCGGCGCCGCACGCGCCGCCAAGGATCTCCAACTCCGACCCAAGAAATGAGCGCGGCCCTCTGACGCTTTATGTTTCTGCTGCATCGAGAAAATGGATCGAGGATCGAGGAAGAGGAGGATCAAGATCCGAGAGGAGGAGCAGGAGAAAGAGGACCGAGATCGAGATCGAGGATCGAGATGGAGGATGGAGGATAGAGGTGGATCGAGATCCAGGATCGAGGATCGAGATCGAGATCGAGGAGGATCGAGCACGAGGATCGAGGAAGGGGAGGAGCAGCAGGAGGAGGATCGAGAGCCGAGGAGAGGTCGAAGACCGAGGAGGGCGAGGGGGCGCAAGGCGAAGGGGAGCAACGCTCGAGGGGGGGACCGAGGGGGGGAAGGGGCTTTTCGGAGGGGGGGGGAGGGCTTTTCGGAGGTAGCTTCTTGGGCGTCGGTTGGTTGGAGGGCGAGAATAAAGGGGGGGGGGGGGCGGGGAAGGTGCACGCTTGGGCCCCAAAAGCCTCCCTTCGGGCCATAAAAGAAGCCCCTTTCGGGGGCCCTCGGAGGGCCCCTTCTCTGCAGCCCTCGCTGCCCCCCTCTTTCTCGCCCCTCCCATGCGCGACGCCCAGGCTTTGCGCGGACACCCTGCTCGGAACACTTCGCCGGCCTCTCTGCTCATGACGAGAAGACCGCCCACCCTCCGGACCGCGGCGCCACCCGAAGGGGTCAAGGCCTGTCGGGCCATGCGGGGCAAATCATACCGTCAACCAGTATAGTAAGGATGCCCGGTGAGGATGCAAGAGCCTTGGACGCCCATTTCGAAGCTTTTCGAGTAAGGATGCGCGGTGAGGATGCAAGAGCCTTGGACGCCCATTTCGAAGCTTTTCGAGTAAGGATCGCGGCCAGCAAAAGCGGCGAGGGATGGACCGAGGAGGCAAGGACGCAAGGGCACCCGTGGGAAGGTTGCCCTTCCTTTCTACGCGGGTTGACTGCAGTGATCGCTGTTGCCACTCAAGTCGTTGGGGGCAGCTCGCGGCCCCATCGATCTCTCCGAGGGCCAAGCCCGGGGGTCATCGGGAAACCTCGGCTCGGGCGAACGAGCCGCCGTCGCCCCCGAGGCAGCTCCAAGCACGGCATAGGAGAAGTGGAAGGAGAAGGCGAGCAGGAGGAGGGCGGGGTGGATGCGGCACGGGGATGGAGGTCAGCACGAGAGGAGGGGCCCCGAGGACGGATCGAGAGCCCCGAGAGCCCCCCTCCGCCAGCGAAGAGGGCACAGAGTCGCCGGCGACATTGGCGGGCCCAGATCATGGCATGGTGGCCGGGTCGGAAAAACACAGAGCCTGGTGCCCTCGGCCACCCCCCCTAACCATGCTCCCGACCCGCCCGTTCCACCAGGGAAATTGCGTAGATCCGACGGGGGGTCCCGAGGCCTCGGGCGGAGGGCCCCCGAAGCCCAGGGAAGAGGCGGAGGGCCCCAAGGGGCCGAGGGCATCATGGGGCCCCAGAGGCCCAGGGAGACACGGGGGGGGGTTCGGGCGGAGGGGTGGGAGACGGCGTCAGAAGGAATTGGCCAGGAGGAGGAAGAAGATGGATGGGGGGAGCAGGAGGGCCGGAGGAGCGTGGAGCGTCTTGCATGGGGCGGTAAACGGGGGTGGATGGCACAGGATCGGAGGCGGAGGGTGCCAGATACCAACGGAATTACCCCCTCTGCAACTCGGGGGGGGCTGGGTCCAGATCATGGTCATGGGTGGGCCGTCCTAGCAAGATGCTCAAAGTAGGCTTCTTGGGCGTATTTCCGGAAGTGTCTGGGGGCACCTTGTTCTGGACACCTCGCTGGTTCGCCCAGCATGGCGCCGTGAACTTGTAATTGCGTAACTTTATCATCTGCCAATGCGCCGTACGAGTGCTGGGCTTGATTGACTGACTGACTACCGCTCCAATAAGAGTCGACCAAGCATGACAGTCAAAACTGATAGTAAGCATGCACGATAAAAGTACAAACCCTTTGGACGCTCGTGTTGAATGAAGCTTTTTCGAGCGCAGCGGGCCATCGAAAGTAGTCAAGGATGGCCCAAAGATGCACGGATGCAAGGGTACCTTTGGGAAGGTTATACCCATCTCTATCGCGGCGGCGAGCGGGGGGAAGTGAGAAGGGGCAGGCCTTCTCAGAAGGCTCGAAAGCCCCCCAGCCTTCTGAGAAGTTTCCTCAGCCTTCGCCGAAGACAGAGAAAACTTCTCAGAAGGTGCGAGGGCTTCTGAGAAGTCCCGCCGCCTTCTGAGAAGGCCTTCTCCTTCTCACTTCCTCCCCTCGCTCGCCCCCGACTATCATCGGTTTCGACTGTACCCTCATCATCGCTATGCACAGCCGAAGGTAAGGTGTGCTGCCCTCTCCCTCCGCACAGCAGTGGGGACCGACGCCCGCGGCAAGGAGCGTACACTTGGGCGTGCGGCCCATCAGGCGCCGGCCACCAAGCGTGGTCGCAGGTCGCTCGCTTTCGTAACCCTAGGGGGGCAGATTACACCACCTTGCGGTGTGGCCCTTGGGTCTTGAAGGCGGCCGCGGGGTCTGAGCTGGATAAACCCAGAGAAGCTTAAAATCGCTCCCCAGACCCCTGCCAGGGTCGAAACTGACCAGCTGTTCGAGCCGCGTCCAGCCGTGGCGACAGGGGGGGCGCTTTCTCCCCCCTTCCTGCTAGCCAGAACCAATGCTGGGCCGCCTCAGCGCCCCAGCCGGCTCCAACTGAGGTCGCTCCCCCTCATCATGTTCTCCTGGGGAGCCATGCCACCCGGGAGAAGGACACCGATCAGATCACTTCGGACCCAGATCTTGGTGGATATCAGCTCCCAGCCAAGCCGAGAGGCCTTTTCCCCCAAGAGCTGCGCCAGAGCTGGCCCTGATGAAGGCTTGGGAAGCAAGGACGAAGACAAAATCGGAGCGAGATAGACCAGAATTCTCTGAGGGCTGGAGGATGTTGTGTCGGGCGCCGCGGCCTTTCCGGAGCGCTCAGAGACACCGCGGGAGCGTCCCAGATGGCCCTGCGAGCGATCCGTCTCTGCTCCGGGCCTGCCTGCAAAATATCCACCCTCAGCGGTCGGCATGCGGGTGTGAGGACCGGAGGCTTCCAGGATTCTGGGCCGGCCCCGCGCGCGCCTACGCAGGGCCCGAGAAAATGACAGAGAGGAAAAACAGGCGGCCGCCAGCGACGACGATGACGACGAAGACGACGACGACGACGCCGACGACGCCGAACACGACGACGAAGACGACGACGACGACAACGACGACCGCTCTGATGGGGAAACAAAAAGCTACTCCCTGGGCCTCCCATGGCGCGTTCTGACCAGGATCCCGAGGCGAACATAATCGCGGCGACGAGAGTCGCGTGGCGCGGCTGTATCGCTACCTCCTCCACCTCCTCCTCCTCCTCCTCCTCCTCCTCCTCCTTTTCCTCCTCTTTCTTGCGCAGGTCACTGGGCGAACTTGGCACCCGCTCTTCTTCCTTCTCCTCCTCCTCCTCCTCCACCTCCTCCTTCTCCTCCTCTTCCCTTCTCACCGCTTTCTCCTCTTCTTCTGTTTCTTCATCCTATTGTCCGTCTTCCTGCCACATTCTCTTTCCTGATAAGTAACTTCTCCCTGCCGCACCCCGAGGCCAGGTTTAGGAAGGGCCAGGCGTTTCGCCTGAGACTTTTTTACCATGTATGACCCTGGAGCTTCAAAATTGGCAACCGTTTCACAAATGGAGGGCGGGTAATTTTTAAGATGTGGCTCTCGCATGAGAGCAGCGCACATTCGTATCAAAAGTTTAAAAGGATTTGACGGATTGAACGCGGGTCGTTTTCAAAATGTGGCTCTCGCTTCAACGCCGCGCACATTCCTTTTAACAATTTGCAAGAGCTTCACGGGTCGGGTGGTTTTCAAAATGTGTTTCTCGCCACAGCACCGCGCACACTCGTTAAAAATTACACGAGTTCCTATGATCGACGTACCAGACATGGTGTTTTGGGAAGATTCACGATTGTGAGGGTGCATCAATTACGGTGATTCGCGGCGTTGAAATCCCAAGAATGGCGTTCTGGCACGATTCCGGGTCGTTATGACGCAACAGTCAGGTTCATCCGTGGCGTTGCAATCTCGAGAACAATGTTTTGGTATGCTTTAGGGTCTTAAAACGGTTGTCTTCCAACGAGGCAGGCCCCTGTGGACATGAACTGTTGTAGGGACCTATGAACAGGGAGCTTTGGGGGATGGTTTATTCCAATATCGTTGGTAACTCTTGGGTTTACACTGGTCCTCCTCCTCCTCCTTCTTCTCCTCTCTTCCTCCTTCTCCTAATCAGCATCATCAAAAGCATCATCGTCGTCATCACCATCATCATCATCATCATCATCAGCAGCGTCATCACCATCATCATAGACATCGTCATCATCATCACCACCGTAATCGTCATCGTCGTCATCATCACCATCCCATCCTAATCATCATCATCATCCTCATCATCTTTCTCATCATCAGCATCATCCTCATCCTCATCCACATTATCATCCTGATCACCACCATCACCATCACCATCACCCTTACCACCACCGCCATCGTCATCATCATCAGCATCATCATCGGGGCCGTCAGCATCATCATCATCATGCACAACATCAGCATCAGCATCATCATCAGCATCAGCATCATCAACAGCAGCATCAGCATCAGCATCAGCATCATCATCACCATCATCATCATCATCACCATCGGCATCGTCATCTTTATAGTCATCATAATCATGAGCATGAGCATGAGCATCATCATCAGCAGCAGCATCATCATGATCCACCATTAACCTCACCACCATCATCACCATCACCATCACCATCATCATGATCACCACCACCGTCATCGTCATCGTCGTTGTCACTGGCATCGTCATCGTCATCAGCATTATCAGCCTCAAAATCACCACCACGATTACCATCACCATCATCATCAGCAGCATCAGCATAGGCATCATCATCGGCATCATCAGCAGCATCATATCACCATCACCATCACTATCATCAACATCGTCACCACCGTCATCGTCATCGTCATTGTCATCGGCATCGTCAGCGTCATCAGCATCATCATCGTCATCGTATTCGTCATCGTCATCATCACCGTGATCGTAATTGTCATCGGCATCGTCATCATCATCATCAGAAGCAGCAGCAGCATCCTCATCATCATCAGCATCATCCTCAGTAGTATGATCACACCCACCATCATCCTGATCCTCACCACGATCACCATCACCATCACCAGCACCATCGCCATAATCATCATCATCAGCATCATCATCATCATCATCATCATCATCATCAGCATCATCAGCATCATCATCATCGTCATCAGCACTACCACCACCGCCACCATCATCATCATCAGCATCATCAGCAGCATCATCGTCGTCGACATCGTCATCAACGCCATTATCGGCATCGTCATTGTAATTGCAATCAGCATCGTCATCATCATCATCATCATCAGAAACAGAAGCATCCCCATCATCATCATCATCAGCATCATCATCATTCTTATGGTCACCACCTCCATCACCATCATCATCATCATCATCATCATCATCATCATCAGCATCGTCATCATCATCATCGTCATTATCACCACCATTACCATCACCATCACCAACAACATCACCATCATCATAATCATCAGTATTAGCATCATCGATGTCATCAGCATCAGCATCATCAGCAACATCAGCATCATCATCGTCAGCATCATCACCACCACCATCACCATCACCAGCACCATCAGCTATCATAATCATCATTATTATCATCGGCGGCAGTATCAGCAACATCATCATCAGCATCAGCATCATCAGCAACATCGTCACCGTCACCATCATCATACTCACCAGTACTACAATAATCGACATCATCAGCATCAGCAGCATCAGCAACATCATCATCATCATCATCATCACCACCACCATCATCATCATCACCACCATCACCACCATCATCAGCATCATCATCATCATCATCATCATCATCATCATCATCATCATCATCATCATCATCATCGTCCTCCTCCTCTTCCCCTTCCTATTCCTCTTCCTCCTCAATCCTCCTCCTCTTCCTCCTCCTCCGCCTCCTCCTCTGGATATCAGAACCGCCAGGGCGAACGGGCGCGACGCGGGGCGCGAGGGGGGGGGGGGCGCCTGCAATTCCCTCTCCGCTTCGGCAAGGCACGCAGTAAGCTGCGCGGCCATGGCGGCGCTGCTCTCCAGGCGCCCCATGAGCACCTCTGTTGGCTGGGCGCGCCCGTCGTCGCCGCCGCCGCCGCATCAACCGCCGCCACCGCCGCCGTAGCCTACGTAGCCGTCGCTGGAGGAGCGAACGTGGCGTGGTCCTCATTCCGCCTCCAGAAGCCTCCAGTGGGAGGGAGGCGGCACCCCCCTCTCCTCTTCCGCCCCCGTAGCAGCTGAACTTTCACCATACTGATGGAATTGCGAAGATTCGGGCGAGATCTCCATCCATGTGCGCGGTAATACACACGTACGTATGACCAGGGCGCATGCGATTACATTACGAGGATCTGTCGGTTGGGCGCCGATGCCGTCGCGGCATCGTGCTAGAACACCGCTCTTTAGTCAGGCGAACTCTCTGGCCAAGGCACATCGGAATAAACTGAGGGGGAAACGTCGAGCAGGAGCCGTTGCCTTCGCAGTTTAGCACTCACAAACTTTGGTGAATTACTGGGAAGTCGCCAATGAGAGCGGAATTCGGGGGCCCCTCTGGCCAAGGCATCTCGGACAAAATCTGCGAAGACGTATCAAACAGGAACCATTGTGGCCGCAGTTGAGACTTCAGAAACTGAGATTGTAAACCAAACCCGCGCTCGAGAAGGGGGCGTCGCTTTCACAGAACATGGACGTCGAGGCGAGAGTGCCCCAAACCGTTGTCATGGATCGAACATGCTCGCCAGCGTGGACCCCAAACCGTGCGTTTCTAGCAATATGTGTTAGGCTATCTATGCGAAGCATTCTACGTGGGCAATAGTTAGTGGTGTCATTCCTGTGATGCATTCTACCCCTGTGCTTGACAAACCATCCCACCCACACACCAACCCGTAACTTAGAACACAAAACAAATGCGGCGGCGATTGTATTGACTGTTCGGCGATGGCTGGCTCATCGTTGCGGCCGCGCTAGCGCGCGCAAGCTCGCGCGTACAGCGGCCAGAGAGTCTGGGACGCGGCCGTGGTGGCCCTGACCGCTGGGGACGTCCCAGCGCGTCTCGCAGTCCGCGCTGACGCGCGAGCACGTCAGTGCGAGTCGGTGACTCGGGCGGGCGCGGTATCGTGGCGACGTCGACGACGGCAAACACGATGAAACAGTACCAATGCTGGCGACGCAGCGTCGCATCCGCCTCCTCCCGGCTCGCGGCGACGGCCATGAAGTTAAGTTGCCGATGCGCACCAGGGCCGCCACCGAGCCAGGCCGCGCGGGGGCCCGAGGCACGCGCTGAGCCAGCAGCCGATCTGCCGGCATTCACGGGTTCAAGATATGCCGCATAGCCCGCTGGACGAATCACGTGACCCACGACCAGCAAACCAGGAGCAAGAAGCGCCGACTCACAGCAGTGTCGCGCCAGGGCGAATCCACCAAAAACATCCCGCGAGCGCAGGGGAAGCGCGCAGGCTTTCTGTCAAAAGCCAATTGCGCAGTCGACGCGCAAGAAGAGGTTGCGGCGCATCTCATCAGAACGGCCCCGTTCCCACCCATTCGTAAAGAACGCGCCGTCGCAGGCAGCGCATCTGACATGCATGCCACTCCAGAGGCAACGCGCATGAGCGAGACCTCCCAGCGCCGATGGGCGGCGCACTTCCAACTGGCGACCAGCCAACGATCGGGGCCAATCACGGCCAGCGCGGCCGAATCGGCGGTCATGTCCGTCGGGCGGTTGGGCGCGGAGTCGCAGGAAATGCGGAGCCTCTCCATCGCGTCAACTTGGGTACTCGAAGCAGGCCAGACACGTCGAGAAGCTCCGCGCCCCCCCATCTCAGCGAGGGCCCGCGCACCACTGCGAAACCAGGCGTCACTCAACGCATCCTCGCAACGCACGGGCGACGCGACGGAGGCAGCGGCGGCAAGTCCCTGGGATCTGCCGCAGGACCCAGCGGCACAGTGACGGCGCGAGCGTTCAGCCACCTCCCCAAGTGGACAAGCGAAACCCAGGCAAGGGTGTCCCAGGTCTCTGCAGGGTAGCTCGGCCATGAGAGCAGGCCGGCGTGGCCGTCCTTGGGATTTGGTCTTCGGAAGTATCGGGCTTGCCTGGAGGGCCCGGCGCACGCGTCGACCCGTCCGCCTCCGCTGCCAAAGCCCGTTCCCGCCGCCCTTTGCGCCCATCCTTGAACACCGCAGCCTGCCCCGCCATGCGCCGGGCAACCCAGCGCTCGAGCTTGGGAGAGACCAATGCACATCCTTCAGACCGCCCGCCGCCGAGGAAGGCATGCCGCTCAGCTGCCCCGTTGGACGTGCGAATCCGCTCTTAGTACTTTTCTTCACACGGCCGGTAGCGACGGGCCGCGCATTCGAAACAAGCGAGGCTGCACATCTTGAGCTGGTCGCACTGCGAGCCCTGCCGCACCGATCCCGAAAGGGAGAGGTGTTCGTCGATCCCCGGGTCGGACGTGGTGGCTCCGAGCGCCTGTCGCCACCAGCTGCGTCGGAGAACGGGAGCCATCCCACAGGTGGCGGAAGCCTCCACTGCACTGTGCGGGGGCCTCGACGGGCCAGCCGTCGTCGATGGGGCTCTTCACGCAGCAACGAAAAAGCGAACGAACAGAGTCGAAGGTACAGGTACGATCGCCACCGGCGTTGAATGCCACCGCCACTGCGCGGATGTCCTCAGCACCGTTGGGGCTGTCACCATCTCGAGGCCGAGGAGCGGTGAGGGTGCCCTGCTGATGCGGTACCAGACGCTGCCACGACAAAGTAACGCCTGCCCCCTGAGCCCCGAGCGCCGCGCCCGAAGCCTTGACCTTGATGCCCTCCCCACGGCGAACAAAAAAACCTCATAACCTCCGTCGCTGGCGTCGGAGTGAGCCGGCAGGGCCCCTGCCTCGTAAAAACCAGGGTCCTCGACGAGTCCACCTGCGCAGTCTCGGCAGCGGCCGATACCAACGCTGACGCACGTGTGGACCGTCCGTCCGCCAGTGCTGAGCAGGGACCAGCCGTCCCAGCATTCCCATAGGCCTACCACGAAGTGTTCTTAGAACCCAAACATGTTCTTAAGAACACAGACAGTGTTCTTAGAACATAAACCCGATGTGCTGAAACAGGACGGTGTCAGCCAGAAGCGTTCCAAGAACAGCTCGTGAAGACTACACAAACGGTTCTTCGAACATTGGTGGGCCTGTAGGCAGGCCAGATGGGGCTGGCTCGCCGTCGCCGTCTGGCGCCGCGGCCGGCGCATCCGCCCACCCAGCCAGGGAAGCAGTTGCCCGTCGGTGAAAGGCCCGCCCCGAGGCGATGTCGGCAGGGCGGAAGGCGTAGCGAATGGCCTCGTTCCCAGACAGGCGGTCTGGAGCACCGCCTTGTGGGCAACTAGAGGGCATATCATCGTTCCCGGCAGGAGTCTCCTCATAGACGTCCCCATCTGGGGTGCAGACCACATATCCGGCATCCGTGCGACACAAGGGCAATCGTTCGCGCCGAGCTCCTTCCGTGCGATCATAGAGCGCCAAGAAACGGCGCCCAGCAGAAAGTGACAGGTAGTCGGACATAAAAAAACACCCTCAAGCCGCCCACAATCTCTCACTGGCAGCGTCAAGCACCTGAGGGCCTGGATGCGCTGGACGGTGGGAGCTGGCAGAGGTTCGGTCCGCCACCAGCGCCCCAAGAGGAAACCCGCTACCACCTGGCCCACCGCGACGGCAAAAAGCGCAGGTGTAGTCAAGCCAAGAGTGCCGCAGTTACACTCGCAACTGCGGACCGGGGTGGGCAGCGCCGATTGCACCAGGAGACACAAAGATCCGATATCCGATGGAGAAGAGGCAAACGACTGTGGACGGGTCGTCCGGCAGCCTGCACGGAACAGAAGTGGGTTTGAGGTGTCAGTGGCCGCAGAGGTCGTCAACATCACCACTGACGACGACGACGACGACGACGACGACGACGACGACGACGACGACGACGACGACGACGACGACGGTCTGTGACAGTCTGTGCCCGCTGTCGAGCTGCGGCCCGACGCGTGGCGGGCCCCGACATTCGCACGACGACGACGACGACGACGACGACGACGACGACGACGACGGTCTGTGACAGTCTGTGACGGCGCCCCGCTGTCGAGCTGCGGCCCGACGCGTGGCGGGCCCCTCGCCCGCGCGGTGCGCACGGGGCCCGACGACGACGACGACGACGACGACGACGACGACGACGACGACGACGACGACGACGACGACGACGACGACGACGACGACGACGACGACCGCGCGCGCCCCAGCGGCGCCTCGTCCTCCTCCGAGGCGGCCGCCTCGCGCACGGAGTGCAACGCCAGGGCCCGCTCGGCGCCGGCGGCCCTCGCCTCCGCGTCCTCGGGCGCGCCACGCGGCTCTGCGCGCCCGCTGCACGCCCGCCGCGCCAGTCCCTCGGCGGCCGTCGGCGGCCCCTCGGCGGCCCCTCGGAGGCCATCGGCCGCCCTGCGGCGGCCCTTCGGCGGCAGTCCAGCGGCGGCCTTCGGCGGCCCAGACAGCAGACAGGCCGCGGCGGCGGCGACGTGGAAGCAGGCAGGCGACAGGAGGAGAGAGACGAAGCCAGGGCGAAGTACGTAAACTCGGGCGAGGCTAAGCCGGGAATCTCTGAGATCTGGCGGCTCTGGAGGATGTCTCGGGCGCCGCGGCCGTCTCAGAGCGTTCCGGAACGCTCTCAGAGCGTTCCAGAACGCTCTGGAACGGACGTATCCTCGTCCTAGCCCCGTCCGAGGGACCCTCTTTGGAGGCGTCTGTGTTCATTCCCTCTTCCAGTTTTCAGGAGGGGGGGGCGCTGCGACCAGCGCATCGCGCCCGAAGGCTCTGGGATACCGAAGTGCCGGATACACAACCCACGCCCGAGGGATGGAAGCGTTCGTAGGGCCCCCTCGGCCCTCGCGGCTGTCCTGGGGCGGTCGTGGGGCCCCGTCCGAGGAGGGGAAAACGGAGGTGCGGGGCAGGCGCAGCGGCCCCAGACGTTGGACGTCTTGGCCATGCTCACACACTCACTCACACTCACATTCACTGACTCCAGCGTCTTGGAGGCCCCAGCCCTCTCCCCGGGGCCCGCCTCTCCTGCGGGGTGCCGAGCCGCGCTGTGAGAACCCCAGGGCCCGAGCCCAGCCCCCGAAGGCCGAGCAGGAAAGCCTCGGAGCTGATTGTTGTCAAGACGCCGGATGTCCTCGGCCTAGCCCCGTCCGCTTCTTAAGCCCTGGAGAGGCCGGCTGCGAGCCCCGCGGGGGGGGAGTCGGCGAGAGTCGCTCGCGCGGCAAACCACCCGCCGCGGGGAAAAGGGGCAAAAGTGCGCTGTCTCAGGGGCTCGAGCAGGAGGCATACAGTCAAACCGTATGGTAAGGATGCACGATAAGGCGGCAAGGGCCTTGGACGCCCATTTCGAAGTTTTTCGAGCGGGGCGCGGCCAACGAAAGTGGCCAAGGCTGGACTGAGGAGGCAAGGCTGCAAAGGTACCGTTGGGAAGGTTGTCCATCCTTACCATGCGGGTTGACTGTATGATGGAGGGAGGAGTTGAGAAAGAGAAGAACGAGGAGGAGGAGGAGGAGGAGGTGGTGGTCGAGCTGGGTTGCGTAATCATACTCCTGTAAGCATCATCGCTACGTTTTGTGTCTAAGATTCCTGCTCTAGTCTGCCCATGACAACCAAGAAGGCAGGGAAGGCAGGTGGCAACTGGCACGCGGGAGCGAATCCGAAGCGGCCCAATGCATGGGCGCACGGCAAGGAGGGCCAACTCGGCTCGGCTGGGCCGAAGAACAAGAGCGGCGAGCCCCCAAAAAACACAACGCATTGAGAAGGAGGAGGGGGGGAGGAGGAGGAGGAGGAGGAGGAGGAGGAGGAGGAGGAGGAGGAGGAGAGGGAGGAGGAGGAGGAGGAGGGAGGAGAGGAGGAGGAGGAGGAGGAGGAGGAGGGGGCGGAGGAGGAGGCGAAAAAGGAGGAGGAGGAGGCGGAGGAGGAGGAGGGGGAGGAGGAGGAGGAGGAGGAGGAGGAGGAGGAGGAGGAGGACGAGGAGGAGGAGAAGAAGGGGAGGAGCGGAAAGAGGATCAGGACGTGGAGAGGAGTAGGACGAAGAGGGGTGAGGAAGGAGGAGGAAGAGAAGAATTTAGCGGAAGAGGGGGGAGAAGACGAGAGGAGCGAACGCCCACTGAAGAGCCCCTGTGCCATTCATTACTCGAACCAAAAGTGCTGTACAACGAGAGAGCGGAAGCGAAGAGCGGCATGGGCAGCAATGTAAACGCGAGGGGGGGCGCCGATCTCTCCAATCATGGCGTGATATATGTAGACGGTAGGGGCCATCGAGCGAACAGCATAGCCGAGCGGATGCTGACCCTGGCCCCCACTAACTAAGTCCCCCGAGCCCAAAACGAACTAACACATCACCAGGAAAGAAGGCGCTGAGGGCCAGCAACCAATTCCAGCAAACGCTCTGCACCATTGCGTCATGCGTCGCGCCACTAGGCACTCCTTCCCTGGACGCGCAGTTCAGCGTCCGGTGTTCAGGGAGCGACCTGCACATCTTCATCATCCACTTCCACCTCCTCCAACTCCTCGTTCATGCACTGCCTGGGGGTTCGACTACTTCACAGCTTCCTCGTAGCTCGCCCATCCTGGCATCGAGGCGCGTTTCTTCCTCCTGGTTGCGAACCTTGGGCTCGCGACCGCACTTCTGGCCAGGCAGCCCTGACTCGATGAAACGAAGATACAGGAAGCATTGTATAACAAATACAGGACAGCCTCCTCATCGGCCAGCAAAGAAAATCAATTCGAGTCTTCGTGTCTTCTCATATCAGCACCGACCAACTATCTTCGAGTCTGGCGCTGGCGCGCATGTCGCACCAGCACGGCCTTTTCACACTCGCACGCCGTCCGCGCGAGCATACCTCTCGCACCGGCAACGGTCCTTTCACATTCGCAGGCATGTCTGGCGTTTCTGCGGGAGCACTTGGAGCCACCTCGGGTCGACTTGTGGATCGCTTATTCCGAAGCATATTAAAGTGTACAAATTTGGTGGTGATGAGGCTGATGGTGCCCATGAAGAAGGATGATGACGATCATCTGTCCTTCGGCAGTTACCCTTTCCCTTCCCTTTTGGAGGTGGGAACGCCCATTTCTTTCCCAAGGCGCGCCGCGCCGCGCCCCCGGGCGGCCTTCGGCGGTCGGCCACGCAGCGCGCGCCACTCCGCGCGAGCCGCCAGCCACGCCACCGCTACTTCCCCGCGGCACCTGCTTCCCCGCAGGGGCGGCCGCCGCTAATGCCAGCGCAGCCCGCGCGCCTTCGCGCTTGCTGCGCGGCTTTCGCCATCACCCGGCGAGCGCCACTTCGCGCGCGCCAGCGCCGCTCGCCCCTCGTCGGGCGAGCTGCGCTCCTTTCCAGCCGCAACTTGTCACGCTCTTCCTCCTGCGGCTGAAATCCCGCTAGCCGCTCGGCGGGAAGCACCTCCTCCGCGCGCGCCGCGGCCACGACGGCGCCGGCCTATCAGAGAGCGACTCGAACTCAAATCGGCTGAAAGCTACGGCGCACAAGGCCACGGGGACTCCAGGGGCCACCGCGCTGTGGACGCAGGCAGCGCGGGAATTCTGGCCCAGGCCCGCTCTGGGGACCGGCTCGGCCGCGTCATCCGCCTGCACGACTTAGGCAAGCGCCTCCGTGCCCTCGAGGTCGCCCCCCGCCACCTGGTCGCCATCCGCAGTGTCTGTCTGCTCCACTACGAGGCCGAACACTTGCGCATGCCTGGCACTCCAAGTAGCACTGCCAAGAAGCGCGCACTGGCCCCGCACTGCCGTCAAGCCCTCCGCCACACGTGCGGCACTCCTCCTGCGCAGGCGCGCCGCTAGCAGGCCAGCTGGCCAAGTGGGGGGCAAGCCACCTCCCAGACCTCGTCTGGTCAGGGTCAAGCCCGTGTTCCCGTGCAGCCGCAAGGACGCCTTTTAGATCGCGCAGCGGGCCTGCCAATGCGTCTCTGGAGTACTCCAAGAGGCTGCGGTCGTTTTTGTCCGTGTGCAGGCCCAGGAGGCGCCTCTGCTCCTTGTCCAAACCTGCCTTGGCGCACAAGCTGAGCAAAGCCGCCTTCGCGGAGTGCGCGCCCATGCCCTGCAGGTACGCCCGCCCCCATCCCAGCGCGCTGCCGAAGTGCTGCAACCATTTGCCCCCTTCAGCACCGTCCTTTTCGGGTGTCGCCAAAATGACCGTCGCCCGACAACAGCGGGAAGAGGCAACGGTCCCTTGCCGCATTAAGGCCCAACTCGGAGCGTTTCTGGAGCCACGCCGCCGCCCACGGCTTGCCCGACACGCCGAGAACCACCCCGACAAGCGGCAGGAACTCTGCAGCTTCCCTCGCCGCGCGCCCCGCCTTGTGGTCTCGGAACCCCGCCGCGGCCTCGATGAAGCCCGGGTTACCCTTTTGCAGGTCCAGCCGGGCGTGGGTAGCGAAGACGAAATATCCGAGCACTACGACCTCGGCCTTG